ATATATATATATATATATATATATATATATATATATATATATATATATATATATATATATATATATATATATATATATATATATATATATATATATATATATATATTAGGGAAGCCTTTAAAAAAATTTTTTTGGAAAAAAAGTTTGCTCCCACCCCATAAATGTGTTCTCTATAATAAAAAAAACACAAGGTCAAAAATTTTTTCGAAAATAAAAATATTTTAAAGGGTTGCTCAATACCCTTTTTTGGTGGATCCCTAATATTTGGTGGGTCCCTAATATTATTTGAAAAAAATTCTTTAAAAGTATGTCAACTTACTACTTAAAAAAATCGAAAGTAAATTAAAATTTCAAAAATAATAATCATTTTTTGTAAAATCAATATTTACATATATATATATATATATATATATATATATATATATATATATATATATATATATATATATATATATATATATATATATATATATATATATATATATCATATATTCTTTGTTAGTAGAGTTTTCTTTATACATAACATGTCTTTGTAATTGTTTATTTTCACATTTTTATTTCACTTTAATAAAAGTGAGCAAATAATATATGTAGCAATTAAACAATTAATTGGTAATGTTCTACTAAAATATCATTGTCAATTAATCATCTACAAAATTGATATAGTGATCTTTTACAAAATTGATATTAGTGACACTAGTGATGTACAGTTTGTCTGCACTTTTAATTTTACACAATCTTTGACAAAATTTATTATATATCTAGAATATTGTCATGATTGTACTTTAAAAAATCATGTCAGTGTTTCTCGAAATACTACAAAAGATATTTTTTTGTTATTCCTCCTTAGTTGATGTGGCATTAAAATTCTGTATGAGGGCAACACCATGTCAATTGATGTAGCAGCACTCCGTTGCGAGTCAAGCTATAAGATTGTCGATGAAGCAACACTCTGTTGCAAATCAGGATATAAGATAGTCGATGTAGCAACACTCCATGCATGTTTTAAAAATATATTTTAATAAAACAACAACAAAAACACCTTTAATTAAAAAAAACGTTTTAGTCATTATTATTGGGGTTTTTTAAAAAAACAATAAAATTTAATGTATTTTCCAGATTAATTTAATTGCTTTGACATTTCAACAACAATAAAACATAGCTTAATTGTCGAGGTAGCAAAATTGTAGTCGAAAAAGTCTGTTTCGGCTACACTATAAGGATATATATATATTTATATATACATACATATATATATATATATATATATATATATATATATATATATATATATATATATATATATATATATATATATATATATATATATATATATATATATATATTTACATTTACATTTATATATATACATATTAGTGATCAACTGAAACATAAAAAAGCCAAAACCGAAATAAACCTAAATTTCAGGTACTCTAGCTCGATGCCGAAACTGTCATTTTGGCAAATATATTACCAAAACCGGTACCGACATTTCAGCTAGTCAAAATTAATTTCATCAGAAAAATTTATTCAAAAATGCAGTTTTACATTTGTTTGTTTTTTATACTCGTATTATGTTAGAATTGACACGCGTATCACAAAGTGAGATTTAATACATACGTTAGCCATTTAAGTTAATTGCGAAAGTTAAAAACTCACAGATTTTCTCCGCAAAACAGGATTTTTTTGAGGTATTTTGTGGAAATCCTTAAAATATTTGTAAAATTTCTTAAAATGCTTTGTGAAAATTCTCAAAAATAACAATTTTTCTAAATTAGATAAAAATTTAAAATCTTACAAATTTTTTGGTTTTCAGTATGTTTTTCAACTGAAATTTTGCTTTTTACCAAATTTTAAAAAGTACCAAAACCAAAATTTTGGCATCGGTTCAATTTTTAATTCATGTATATATATATATATATATATATATATATATATATATATATATATATATATATATATATATATATATACATGAATGTTGTTTATTTAATTTTATTGAATGTTGTTTGAATACTGTTTAAATAAAAAGTATATATTAAATTATAGTAAACAAATAAATCATAATAATATGAAAAATTCAATTTTTTTTTCTTTTGCTTATTTAGAGCTGTTTGTTCCATGCTATCAACTTTGTTTTTTCCCTTGTTGCCATGGATATTGCAAATTGCATGGTTTGGGTGGTTTATAGTTGTTTTATTGTATCTTTTCATTTGTAGTTTTTTATTTATAAAGCGATTTTTCAATTGTTACTTAACTTTTCAATTTAAAATTAGTTTTTTTTATGTTGCTTTACAAGTTAATTCATTATCTTTATAATGTAAATTTTTTTAATTGTTAAGCAATTTTTTGTTTTTTGTAATTTCTAAAATAAATTTCTTAACAAAAAAAAGATTTCTTATGTCTAATGGAATAAAGCAATACCAAGTTTCTGCTGATGATAATACTTATAATTTGACCATGGGCAAAGCATGTAATTTAGACACATTCTCCTCTTTGTACCCCAAGACCAATGTTACGTGCTTGTTTGCAAAGTATACAGAAAATGTTAATCTGTTTCGTTTTCAAGTCTTTCATTTATTTGGCTGGTTGTGGGGATCACAGTTTATTATTGCATTTACGGAGTGCAGTTTGGCTGGTGCGTTTGCTTCATATTATTGGGCAATGCGTAAACCACAGGTGTCTTGTTTTTTTTTTTTTTTTTTTTCAAATTTCTAAATTTTTGTTATTTTATGTGTAAATTTCTTTCTTCCTTATTTAATTTTGTCTCCTAAAAAAAATTACAAATAAGAAAAAAACTTTTTATGTTGCTAAATAAACCTCCTTTTATGCTTTATTTAAGAAAGCATTTTAATTTGTGTAGGATATTCCATCATTTCCTGTTTTTGGAGGCATGTGGAGATCTCTCAGGTACATATATTTGTTTTAATTAATTTTTTATTATGTAAATGTGTGCATGTGTGTATATATATATATATATATATATATATATATATATATATATATATATATATATATATATATATATATATATATATAAATATGATATTAAAAATGAACTAAAAATTACTTGAACCTTCCCAGAAATGTATAATACTATTACATAATTTAGTATGTAAAAGTCTTAAACTTTTTTCAAAAATTAACTCTGCATTGCATGACAGTTGTAGTGTTTACTTTTTACCACTTCTGAACAAAGTAACTTTGTCAGACTAATTGCAGCGAACGACATGGTAAAAAAAAATAATCATTTGGTGTGTATTTACAACATATTGATGTTGTTATATGCTGAGTTTCATAGTTTTTACTCAATGTTTTATAAGCATTTCTATGGGGTTTTTTTGTCATAACAAAAAATCTAAAAAAAAAATCAACAACAAATAAAACAACCCAGTCAAAAAAAAAGATGAATATTTATAAAAACCATGTAAAATATGTAAAAGTATAAACTTTATAACATTATCAAAGTTTTCAGTTATAGTTTTTTGATTCTGGGTTCGTTAAATTTAAAATAGGTAACTAAAGGCAGGCTGCTATATTTATTTATACTTTATTGCTTTACTAAAGTTTAAATGGTTAATGCTCCCTGTTCCCAAAATAAGTTTATAAAATAATTCTTTCAGAAAAGTAAAACTATCAATTTTAAAATTGTTTTGCAAGCTTTGGTTGCAAACTTTTGCTTGATTTTTTGCTTGTTTCCTTTTCTTGGTGTTAATAACTGTCTTCTTTGATAACTTCCCTTTCTTTTTCAAACAACCTTTTCTATTTCTTGTTCTATAAGCTTTTGATCTTTTAACATCTGATTTAGACATTTAAAAAATATTATTAAATATAATGGCTTTCTTTTGAGATTTACATTCTGTTATGATTTAAAAAAAAACAACACTAATTTTATAAATAAAAAACCCACAAAATTGAATGAACAAAAACGTTGCAATTCAAACTATAAAAAACGTTTTTATAAAAAATTTATATTAAAAGTTTTCTTTATATTAAAAGTTTTTATTTCTTAACAAATATTAATTTCTTTACATTAATTATTTTAAATAAGTCATTTATATTTAAAAAAAAAAAAATTAATTTAAATTTTAAATTATTCTAAATTATTTTTAAAAGCTTAGCAATATTATGAGTAAACAAACTGCAAATGATTTTTAACTTGGTTTTAATAATAAAATTGTTCGCGCTTAAACTTTTTATCAAAAAGTCAAGAAGCCATTATGGAAAAACAAACATAGCGTGATGGTCGTAACGTACTTTGTTACATCTTAATACTATTATCTAAAGCTCTTTTTAAAAAAAAATAAAACGATAGTAAATCTAATATCAGTATCTTTACTTTTACTATATTTTTAGTTTTATAAAGTCTGATACGAAGCCTAGAAAAAAACCTTCAACTTTTTTTTGTGACGGTCGTAACGCATTATTTTGATAAATATATTCTTTTTTTATACATAGTTGGAGTGCATTTTTATAAATAATATTCAACACAATATTTAATTTTGTCTTTAAGTTAAATTTAAAAGTAATAATTACATAAAAACGCAGCACAGAAACCTTTTTCAACGCTTTACAACAGAATTTTATAAAAACATCAAAAATTGTTTATGTAACTCTTACAACTTGAAAACAATGCTATGATATAAAATAATTTTTTTAATAACTTTTTTGCTTAAAAGTATTCTTAAATAGTTAAAAAAAGAATTTATTGACTAACTTTTTTTTATCTTTCTCGCGGAATATATATATGTGTATATATATATATATATATATATATATATATATATATATATATATATATATATATATATATATATATATATATATATATATATATATATATATATATATATCAAGCCTTCCCAGGAAAGGCGTGCGGTTTTTTTTTCTCGTATGACCACACGCGATTACACTATTTTAGAAAACGTGAACACGACTGTTTGCAAAATAATAATGCTGAAAAAGTTTCAAAAACAAAAAAAAACATAACTAACAAAATAAAAAGAGATTGAAAAAGAAAAAAAGAAAAACAAATTAATAATTTGTGCACTGTTTTTATTATTTTTTCTTTAGAGTTACATTCAGCAACAAAAATTAGATAAAAAAAAATTTTGATTACTAGATAATTTTCCAGATTTTGCAAAATGCAAAATCTGGAAAAATATCTAGTATTCAAAATTTTAGTTTATACAAAACCGTGTTCCTTGTTTTTAAGGGAAGAATCAACTTAAATTTGGTAGCGAAAAAATAAAAAATAAAACAATAAACTTACAATTACAAAAGTAATAACACTCTAGTCACTAACTGCATTACAAAAGTAATAACACATAGTATTATTATTTTTATAACATAGTATTATATATTTTTATATACAAAAGTAATAACACATAGTATTATTATTTTTATAACGCACTTATAACTTTTAAAATTCATTCTTTGTTCAAGCAACATTAATATTCCCATATTTTAATTGAAGTAGAAAAATATCTAAAAGAATAAAGTAGATGTTCAAATGATATTAAAGCTAAAGTAACTTATAAAAACGTGACAAACAACTTTATGAAAATGTATCGTATTTTAAAATTAACCAATAAACATTTTTTATTGGTTGATTTTAAAATTAATGCGCGTATATATTTATATACTTGACAAAGGGTATCAACTTAACATTTTACCAGAGATTGCAAATCGCGATCGTGTAATTTAACTCTTGATATAAAGTTATTACATTGTAATTATACAAATATATTTTACAAACAGATGACGATACATATTTTCTCTTTCCTCTTTAAAAGAAAAAACACATAAGATATGGGAAAGTCATCCTTTTTAACCCCTAAAACAGTTTTTTTTTTTTTTGCTTTGACTTAATGAATTTTGTTGACGATAATAATAACCACTAAGAAAAAAAATAAAATAAAAACAACACACAAATTATTTAAACTATTATTATTGTTTTCTATTTAAGTTCACTTTAATTTCTTAAGTAGTTATTAAATTTAAAACAATTTTTCAGCATATAATAAAACTTGCGCAAACGGCCGCGTGTTTTATTATATGCTGAAAAACGTTTTCGTGGTCGTATGAGACAAAAAACCGCACGCCTTTCCTAGAAGACTTGCGGTTATATATATATATATATATATATATATATATATATATATATATATATATATATATATATATATATATATTTTGTTGTAAATCGTGGTACAACCCTCTCTCAACTCTTTAACTCCGTAACACGAACCTTGACAAGCAAGGCCGCTGAGTGGAGAAATTAAGTTGAGCGCAGTACTTCCAGGGACATGGTGGGAGTCCAACTCCGAACCTCTCGCTTACAAAGCGAGCGCTCTTACCACTACACCACTACCGCATGCACATAACTAAATTAAGTCTCTTTTTACATTAATTAATGCACATAACTAAATTAAGTCTCTTCGTCATGGATGACAAATACATTTTAAACAAAAACTTTCAGGTTTTTTGAGTTTTTAAACTCTATCCCATCCAATTATTACAAAATAACAAATTTATTTTCAATTAAATATATATTTTTTTAATAAAAATTTGCAAATTAACAAAATATGACAATTGTTAAATTTTTTCTCCTATAGTGCATAAATACATCATACAAAAAATCTAAAAAAAATTGTAATAGATAAGTATATATAAAAAAAAGGAGAAAAAAATTTTAAAAATAAGTTAACAGTTTACCTGTTGTAATACTGCAGTTGCTGTTATGATGAAGCAGGCCTTGTTGTTCAATGACGCTATTTCATGTTGGCTTTTAGTAAACAATTGTTGAAGATAATGGTTTCATTGTTAAAAATTTCATGTCTATTGTTAAAAATTAATTATTTTTAACGAATAGAAACCAATGGTAAGGTAAGCTAAGCTGTCTATCAACACAAAATACCACAAAAAAAATGTAACAACAATAACATTTTTGTTATGCACATTAATAGTACATAGCATGATATTTGTAAGAACACATTGCATATTTGTAAGTACAAAGCTTGCTAATAACACTATTATAGTTTTATTACTTTTATAATGCAGTTAGTGACTAAAGTGTTATTACTTTTGTAGTCATAAGTTTATTGTTTTTGTTTTGTTTTTTGTAATTTTCTTGCTAGCAAACTTTTAATAATTTGCTCCTTATAAACAAAGTACATGAACTAAAATTTTAAAGACTTAACATTTTACCAGAGATTGCAAATCGCGATCGTGTAATTTAACTCTTGATATAAAGTTGTTACATTATAATTATACAAATATATTTTACAAACAGATGACGATACAAATTTTCTCTTTCCTCTTTAAAAGAAAAAACACATAAGATATGGGAAAGTCATCCTTTTTAACCTCTAAAACAGTTTTTTTTTTTTTTGCTTTGACTTAATGAATTTTGTTGACGATAATAATAACCACTAAGAAAAAAAATAAAATAAAAACAACACACAAATTATTTAAACTATTATTATTGTTTTCTATTTAAGTTCACTTTAATTTCTTAAGTAGTTATTAAATTTAAAACAATTTTTCAGCAATGCATATAATAAACAATTAGTAAACTATTGTTGAAGACAATGGTTTCATTGTTAAAAATTTCATGTCTATTGTTAAAAATTAATTATTTTTAACGAATAGAAACCAATGGTAAGGTAAGCTAAGCTGTCTATCAACACAAAATACCACAAAAAAAATGTAACAACAATAACATTTTTGTTATGCACGTTAATAGTACATAGCATGATATTTGTAAGAACACATTGCATATTTGTAAGTACAAAGCTTGCTCTACTTGTTTGCTCACACCACTTTGAAAACAAGGAAACAACTTAAGGTAAACATAAATACAATCTATAAGCACATTATATATATATATATATATATATATATATATATATATATATATATATATATATATATATATATATATATATATATATATATATATATATATATATTATAACATTATATATTTGTAAATACGCATTTTGCCTAATATTAATAGACATTGTGTTTTCAGAATAATTAATAAAAGCTAGGCAACGCTACTTAGCTCTAAAAGTGTAATACCCCTTGCCACTAAACGCTGTGATTCATACCTCTGTTTTAAGTACACTGCTTGGCTGCCAAGGTTAACTTGCTATACATGTTTTTTAAGTCACACCACTTTGAAAATATAAAAACAACATAATATAAATATGTATACAAACTATAAACACATATATACAAAGCCATGCAATGTAGATCCATTTGTAAGATGAGTTGCTGCTATGCTACTGTAGCAGATTCATGCAGCTGTAGCAGATTCAACACCCATAATATTAGTTTCAGCATTCAAATAATTATATGTAGATTATTTTATTCCTAATATTTATTTATAATTATATTGTTGCTTTTAATACTGATAACCAAGCCATTGTCACTGTGTCTATAGCATGGATAATCAATATGAACTGTTACTCTGTTATCGTTAAATTCTTTAGGATAATTTTTTCTGCACACCCTATCTTGACTTGGATATAAATTTTCAGTTATCTTTTACCATTTTGGGTTGCATGTGAAAGTAATGAAAAGATCTGGTTTACCATACTTTTTATTAACATCTATAGCATCTAAAAAGTTTTCTTTTAAAGCTCTAGGACTTCCTTCATAATTTGATGCGAAAATTACAACATGCCCTGATCTAACATTATGATTGTTTTCAAAGTTGTTTACATGTTTTTCATGTTCATGTAAAGCATCATACTGCTTGCTTCTCAGTTTGTTTTGGTTATTTCTGATGAGCACAAGAGCCTGGTCTTCAATTTTGACAAGGTTATCATTTTAATCATTACTTATTTGATATTAGAGTATTAAAATATCAGTTTAACATCAGAATACCTCAATATTCCACAAGACAAAAAATTCACACAAAGCGAATTTTTTCGTCGATAAGCATGCACAGATTGAACAATTTTGGCGGTTACGCTGATTTTTTTTTTCGCTACAACGTTTTGCTGCAGCGAAAAAAAAGTCGAATTCATTTCAACTTTATGCGAATCGCCATAAGCGAAAACCAATAAAGTTTTGAATACTGTATTACAAAAAAAAAAAATTCTTAACCTGGCGTTCTTATTTATTTTAAATGAACTTATTATAATTGGCAAGCATGAGTAAATTCATCAAACAAGGAGCAACACTTATATAAAAAAATGACTAGACTTATATATAAATCTAAATCGAGAATTTACAAGTATAAATTTTCACACGGTCAATTATGAAAGTTACACTTCATAAGAATGTTTATCTTCAAGTGACCACATGAAGATAAACCTTTTTGTGAAAAACCCTCCATAGAGTTGAACCTGCTGTTCGTTCTTGCAGTAACAGTTTTTTAATAGAAATGTTCATGTCAGAGTTAGTACTTATACTTTCTTGTAAAAAAAAACTTATATAAAATGGTTATATTACAAAATGATATCACATCTTACATATAAAGACAGAAGTGGTGATATTAATGCATGGAAAGAAATTTTCACATGCTTCAAAGTAGAAAGTATGCTAAAAACGTAATAACTGTTTTTAGTTAAACATACAGCGTAAACTTATTGCTGTCATTTTTATTGTTAACAACGAAAAAAAAGTAGCGCAAAAAAAAGTGGAACAGCGTTTCGTCATAGCGAAAAAATTCGCTTCGCGCGAATATTTCGTCTTGTAGAAAACAGCCTTAAGAAGCACTAAGAAACAATAAATGATTAAATTAGGAGCAATAAAAACAAATAAAATATACTGGAAATCAACAAAATGTTTTAAAATATAATTTATCTTTTTTAAGATAAGATTGCAATATTTATATACATTTTTTTAAATTAATTGACTGATATGATATATAAGCAAGACAATATAACAACTGTATGTTATATTATGAACCAAAAAATAAAAAAATAAAAGCTTCAAATAATAAATAAACAAATAAAATATCGAACACAAAATATATTAAAACAATATAAATAAAAACACCAAAGAGCAACAAATGTTATTAATACCTTCACTGATTGGAGATGCTGTTTTTTCCTTGGTGCTTCTCAGCACCATGTAGCGATGAGCCATCCATATAAAAGAGAGGACTCATCCATTCATTCATTCATTCATTCTGCACCACTTATGCTTAAAGCAGTAAAGTTTGTAGTTGCTCTAATTTAGATCTTACAAAATAAAAATAATATAATAAAAAATAATTTGTATTCTAATAAACTTTTAGTAAGATACAAACCGGTCAGATAAACATCATTGCCATTTATGCTTTACCCTGCAATTTACACCTGCTCCATACTGCAGTAAAAAGGTTTTACTACAAACAGCCAAAAGGCTAACTTCACCCAAATTTGTAAACCACAAAATACCTAACTACACCACTAATGTAATAAATGCGGTTAAATCAAATTTTTTAAATAAATTTTAACCATTGATATAAGTTATAACCAGTTGCATTACTACCAAACTGAAGAAATGAAAAAAAAAAGTAGAATAAGATAAAAATTGGACATTTTATTATTTATTTGTTATTATTGCCATATTAATAAAACTAAAAAAGCATAACCCTAACATTGTGTTGCATAACATGCAAAAAATAAAAAATATATCTTCAAAAAAATTATAAGACATAGTAGTTAATTATAAAAATATATATATGTATGTAAAAATGTTTTACTTAATTTATTTAAAAAAAGAAAAAAAAAAATTGACTCCTAAAGAACTAAATTAACAAACCTTTAAATTTATTTAAAGATTAAGTTCAACATTAAAATTACATTTTAATGTTTTCCACTAAAAATTAAATTCACAAACCATCAAAACTATTTTTTTATTGAATTTATTGACAATGATCAAAATAAATACCAGTAATAAGATGCATTTTAATTTAAAGTGAAAAAGTTTGTCAAGTTACTATAGTTCATATTTAAATTTTTTTTAATCTTTTGGTCGCAATCTTTCCTTGAACTTTATTTCAATTAAAATATTCTAAATTAAAATATAATAAATATAAAGTAAAAATGTATAATATAACAAAAAAATATTAAACTTACACTTAAAATATGAAATCCTATGTTTTAAATTGAAATCAAATAAAACATAAAAGTTACTACTTTAAAAAAAGTATTTATAAAAAATTCAATTTTTTAAAATAAACTTAAATGTTTTTTAACTTACTTGCTACTTCCTTAACATTATCAAGTAAACAGAAAAAACAAAGAGTGTAATCACGTAAACATGTAAAGTGAAACTAATACCATTAATACTAATTAATTATAATTAACACTTAATTGATACTAATTAAATATAATTATCACTTAATTAATATAACACTTAAATACTAATTAATTTTAATTAACACTTAATACTAATTAATTATAATTAACAGTTGATACTAATTGATACTTATTATTTGAATTATTTAAAGTGAAACTAAAATACTAAAATGTAAAATTTAACAAAAAGCATTAACGAATTTTTCTAGAAAGCTAAGAAAATTTGTTAGGTCTTGCTTTGTAGGCCTTTTTGAAATGACCGCGTGTATTTACAGAATATGTTCTTTCAAGCTTAAGAAAAGCCTAGAATTTACTTAAAAATACTTTAAAAAAATGATGTAATGTCACATTGAACGTTTACTGTAGGATTAATACTTAGTTTGTAAGATAAAAACAGTTTTTAAATTTAGATAATTTAAATTTAATTAGACTGTTGTCATTTTAAAAATGAGATAAAATTAAGTTGTATGTATATTTGAATAAATAAAATAGTTTAGATGTTTTAGATAAAAAGCTTTATTAGCGAGTGTTATTAGTTAATAAGGTTTGTAGCTTTGTAATTTTTCAGTAAATAATTATTTTCAGAGTTTGTGAGCAAATATTGTTAAACTGCCGTTATGGCTACTTCAGATGTTTTATTTCAACTTAGATAGATATTTTATTTCAACTTTTTCGCTGTTTTTCATATTTTATTTTATTGAAATATTATTGAAATAAAATATTTAAACGCAAACAAAATTTTTTTTTTTTAACTTATCTATCTATCATTATCAGATTTTTTCAGTTAATAAAAATTACTATTATAAAGTAATACAAAATTTTTTTTTTAGCTATCACACTGGTTCTCTAGCATTAGGAGCAGCCATTATTGCAATTGTTAAACTAATACGAATAACACTAGAGTATATTGATCGAAAATTAAAAGGTAATAATTTTAATGTTTTTATTATAAATCTAATCTTAGTTATATAGTATCATTTGCTTATATTATTTATCTTGCCTATATAATATCAGCCATTTACCTATACATTTATTTATAATACCTTGTTGGCGTTTAAAATACCTATTATTATTTTTTTTTTTTAGAGAACACTAACAATCCGGTTGCAAGTTTCATCATGAAGTAAGTTTTTATATTGTAGTTATACATATATGGTATGGGTATAAACCCATATATGTGTGTGTGTATATATATATATATATATATATATATATATATATATATATATATATATATATATATATATATATATATATATATATATATATATATATATATCAGTATGGTTTAAATATGTGTGTATATATGTATATCAGTAGTTTTTAATATCTAAAATGTTGGAAACAGAAAACGCATAATGAGTTATTTTGTCAGATCATGTGACCAGATGACAAATTAGTTTTACATTTTAATTTTTATTACAAATATTTCTATTTATGAACTTAAAACTCATGCAAGCGACGAGTTAATGTGATAAAACAAACATACTGTCAAAATATTATTGCCTTAGGAGTGAAAGTTTTTCAATGACTCAGGTTTTTTTTTAATTTTCATCTTGCCCTGTTTTCCCCTATCACAGTTATTGTCATTGTTATTATAATTAGAGAAAAATATTTCATTTTTTAAAACCCCTTTTCCCCTTTTTAAATTCCATAGGTGAATTTAAAAGGAGTTTTGGTTTATTTAATAGATTAAAAATGAAACCCAAACTTAAAAATGATTTTTTTGTAAAGAAAATTGCTTTTAAGACTTTTAGATAGAAAGACAGAAAAAATTAAATAATTTTAAACTGTCTGCCCATGCTACAAATGTCTATAACTAATGGTTAGTTAATCTATATTTATTTTGCTTCACCTATTCTTAATGAAATTAGAAAAAGTTTGCTTTTTTTTAATGTTTTTTTTTTGCTTTTATGTTCAGCTACCAATTAAACTACATTGCAAAAAATTAAAAAAACATTGTTTGGAACAATTATCGCTCACTTTCTTTTTTACCCTTAATTATTTATAAGCAAGTTTAAAAGTCAGTTGTAACCAAAGTCAACAGAAAAAAACATAACATTGCTTTTTTAAACTCATAGAATTTAAAAAAAAATCAAGTTTTAAGTGAGAAAGAGAACAAGAGATAGTCAAACCGTATACTCACTGATTTTAATACTCCCTATATACCAATGTACACATTGGTATATAGGGTAACCCCCTCTACTCCCATACCAGCATATGTACTTTATAGAAGAACACTTTCTGAAATATTTCATAACAAAAATTTAAATTTGCTTCTTACAATCTTATGTCCTCCTCTTACCACCTTATTATCTTTTAATTTCTATATTTTATTGTAAAAGCTGTTTTTAAGGTGTTTAAAATGCTGCTTTTGGTGTCTTGAGAAATGTTTGAGGTTCTTAAACAAAAATGCTTATATAATGGTGAGAATATTTGAACTTATTTTGCTTTTTATTTATTTTTTCAATTTGAGTGGTCTTCCATAAATTATGTTATGTTCTGGGGGAGGGGGTGGTATTAAGGATGTTACTAGTTTTGTTACCACTCATACAGGACTTGTTATTAAAGATTTACAATGTTTACAATAGGGGGGGGATCAAAAATGATCAAAAAATTGCATGTCGTAATTTATGGAAGACCCTTTAAAAATAAGTTTAAATATGCAATTTTGTTTTTTAATTTTTTCTTTAGTTATTATTATTTTATTTTATTTTATTTTTTTTTTTTTTCTGAATTTAGGTGATATAAAAAGATTGCTGCAATATATATATATATATATATATATATATATATATATATATATATATATATATATATATATATATATATATATATTTTTTTTTTTTTTTTTTTACTATAGATAGCTGTTTATGGTCGGAATTTTTGTGTTTCTGCAAAAGAAGCATTTAGTTTGTTAGTCAGAAATCCAGCCAGGTAATTATGTTTGTTTATTTGGGTTTTTTCCAAAAAATTTATTGTAGCAGTTAAAATGGTGAAAATCTCAATAATATTATAAAAAACTTTAAATTAATAAATTTATTTAAAAGAAAAAATGTAATGACTGTTAAAGAACCAAATTAATTAATTTTTTACCTTTAAGGATTAAGTTTAACATTAGAGTTGCATTTTAATGTTTTCCACTAAAAAATAAATTTACAAACCATTAAAACTGTTTTTTTTTTTTTGAATTTATTAATAATGATAAAAATAAATACTAGTAATAAAATGCATTTTGATTTAAAATAAACAAGTTTATCAAGTTACTATAGTTACCCTATAATTAATAAAAACAAGAAATTGTATTATAAAATCTCAAAAATCAATGCTTTAAAATTATCTTTGGTCATGATTTTTGGAATGATATATTTTTTATCTCTACTATTTGTAAATCATATACTTTTGCTGTTTAATTATCTTTTTCAACAATTTTATTAACTTGCTGTCTTTTGTTTGTTTAATTATTACTTTGTCCAAGCAAAACAAACATTACTTTAGTGTAAATAAAAGCAGGTGCGCCAAAAGCATTTTTGGTCTTTTAGATAGCTAACTTCCAGACATGGAGCAAACTCCAAACATTTATATGTTTATACTTATGTCAAATAAGAATGCTTTGTAAAAAATTGCAATGATTGGAGCTTGGGAACAAAAAAGCCCATGTCCTCACTTTAATAGATATTTCATATAGGTGCGTTAATATTATAAAACTTTTTTCATGCCATTCAAAGCCTTCCACTATTTAAAGTTGGTCACAGCAAAAAGTTTTATTTACACAAATAATATGTGTTAGTGGTGCATTGGTGCTAGAATATCATACTCAACTTGTTTAGTGGCATCCATAAAGTATGTGATTTAGGACCCCTCCCTTGTACACACCTGTATGCGTTAAACATAGCTATAACCTTCATAACTTAGCCCTTGGAATTAGGGTCAGCATTTGGCAATGCTGACCTAACTGCTAACCTCATTTGTTGTATGATATGTTTTATGATAAAAAATTTGCCAACATCATTTCTATGTTTTATGTTAACCCCTTTGTGTCAAAATTTTTTTGCCGACCTCTAAGAGTTTAAGGTCCATAAGGACATCAATTTTACTAATTCCAAGGGCTAATACTTAAAAAAATGCAAGTTTGAAGTTTGCTTAATGGTTGCAGACATTATTATAACAAAACTTTTTAAATTGTTCAAAACTGTTTATGACATAAACTTTAAAAGTGATAAAAAAATAGGAATTTTAATTTTGCATAGCAATGCAATCTAATTGTGTTATATAAAAAAAGGCTTCAAAATTTAATTTGTTATTATAAGTCAGTACTGTCATTATTATTTTTAGGGCTTTGGCTATAAATGGCATTACTGGATTTATTTTGTTTCTTGGTAAAATACTTGTTACTGGAGGCGTAGGTAAATAGACTTTAACACATTGTTTTCATTTTTATAAAAAATACATTCTAATAAATAAAAGTTTGCTTCAGTATAACATTAACGTCAAAAAAAATTTACCTTTTTCCTCTTAACATTCCTATAAGGGAACACTGCAAATAGATAATATTTAAATGACTTATATTTCATATTTTCACAATTAAGTTATCTTTAACTTGAATTATTTATTAAATGTTGATATTATTTATTAAATGTTGATATTATTTATTAAATTTTGATATTATTTATTAAATTTTGATATTATTTATCAAATTTTGATATTATTTATGATATTATTGAGTATGAACTTTAAAGATTTTTATATAATTTTTTTTAGGAAAAAAACTTTTATGAATTATATTTAATTATGATCAATTGTATATATATTTTTGTGTGTGTATTTAAATATGTGTGTTGATAAATATATATATATATATATATATATATATATATATATATATATATATATATATATATATATATATATTTTTGTGTATATATATATGTGTGTGTGTGTGTGTGTGTATATATATAAATATATTACCTATGTGTATGTGTGTATAAATATATTATGTATGCGTATGTGTGTATATATGCATGTATATATATACAGTTGAATCCAGTTAACTTGTACTCTGAAAGGCTCTATATATTGTTTGACTTGTTCACAAATATCCGAATTAAGCAAAGTTCTCATTATGTCGGACTTTTTGAAAATGTCCAACTTATCAAGATTATATAATATGTATATCACGATTATATTATGATATACCACCCAGACAATGTTTGAAATGCTATATTTTTTTGGTATAGATACAGATGATTCTCCTATTTTTCTGTTATAGTTCTACTTACTAACTTTCTTTTAGCAACCTTCGACATTTTTAATAAATTTAATGGAATATTAACCGAATCAAAGATATCAGTGAAAATGTTTAGTTTGTTAAATTATCTTTGAAACAGAGGTATTTAATTTTCGAACGTTCTTTGTTTTGGATTTTAATTGATACATTTGAATTTTTTAGTCACTGATAAGTAGAATTTAATCGAAGCTTAACCGAACTGAAGATATCAGTTAAAATGTTTAGTTATGTTTAATTATATATTTATATTTTTTCGTGGGTGTAAGGTGCTCCGAGAAATCCTTACGGTCTTATCACAGATCTGCACAGAAGAGCATTTAGATTGGTAGTTCACACCTCCTTCCCTACCAATATTGTTTAATAGGCAAGACCTCTTGTTTCTTAGCCATAACTCTAACCATTTCGCCATGGCTACACTAAATTGCACTGTTTGATGTAAAATTATTTTCCAGCATTTAAAATTTGAGATTTTTTATAAAGTATTGGAAGTTTTGTTATTATATGCACCTATATGCAATTCAAAGTAAATATCCAAGTTAAGTGAAATTTTTTAACAAAGGAACCCCAATAAACAGTACGAGAAAGTGAATGATCCAACTTAACCAGGGTACCTAAGCGGATGATTTTATAGTATGTTTATAGTGAAAATTCAAAAAATTCAATTGAAAATTTGCCCTACTTAATAAAATTCCGACTTATCCATGGTCCGAGTTAACGAGATTCTACTGTGAATGTCTGTGTATATACAGTAGTTGCCATTGAATTAAATATGCAAAGTATTATATGTCAATGTCATTAAATGAATCAAGTTAAAATTTTTTGCATATCTTTGTTTAAAAGACGTCATCAATGCATATTAAAGTTCTTTTTTTAAAGTAAATAGTAAATAAATTAAATAAAGTAAATATGGGTAAAAAGGCAGATTTGAGTGATTTTGTTAAAGATCAAGTCATAACTTTGCATGGTGAAGGATACTCACAAGTTGTCATTAGTAAATGTCTAGAAATATCAAGATGCACTATACAAAATGTTATAAAATTGCATGGGAGTTCTAGACGTCAAAATTGCCACGGCGTTCGTAAAACTACACCCCGTGATGATCGAACCTGAAAAGTATTGTGCAAGCCAGTTCTCACACTTCATCTGCCCGAGTTACCCAATTGGCCACGGAAAGAGGCATTAATATTAGTGCCAAAAGTGTTCGCTGACATCTGTCTACAGAATTTAAACTGCATGCGCATAGACCAGCAAAGAAGCCATTTCTCACCAAGAAGCAGCCTCAGACACGTGTAAAATTCTGTCGTGATATGAAAGACAAAACTGCTGAGTGGTGGACTATTGTGATGTTTACTGACGAAAGTACTTTCCAGCAACTTCGTGGTTCAGGGTACAATTATGTTCGTTGACCAGTAGGTGAAAAACTTAACCCTAAATACACTCTGAAGACCGTTAAACATCCGCCATCTGTCATGGTGTGGGGAGCTCAGCTAAGGGTAGATGCGAAATCCACATCTTCGGTAAGGGCGAAAAGGTCAATGCTGCAAAGTATATACAGGTTTTAGAGTCAAAGGTTAAGACACATATGAACATTTTTATGAAACTACCATCTTTCAACAAGACTCAGCACCGTGTCATACTGCGAAATCGGTCAAGAAGTGGTTTCATTACAACGATGTGCAACTTTTGAAGAACTGGCTCTCAAATTCGCCTGATTTGAACATTATTGAAAATTGTTGGAACTTAATGAAAGCTAAAGTGACAGCACATCGTCCAATGTCAGAGGAACATTTAAAAGATCTATTGAAGCAGGTGTGGGTAAATAAAATTACCCCAGAGTACTGTGACAAGCTTGTAATAAGTATGCCTTCTCGTATACAAGCTGTATTGAAAAATCGTAGTTACCCTACGAAGTACTAAGATTTTGAGACATTTTGTTGATGAATTTTAAAAGTAATGCTGCTAGATATGTTTTAAAACATTTTATAATACTAAGAGTACTAAGATATAATACAATTTCATGAAAGAGAAACTGGACTTGTTTAATTAAAACTGCATTTCTGCTAGGTGCCTTAATTCAATGGCTACGGCTACTACTGTATATATATATATATATATATATATATATATATATATATATATATATATATATATATATATATATATATATATATATATATATATATATATATATATATATATATACATATATATATATATATATATATATATATATATATATATATATATACACGTGTGTATATATATACGTGTATATATATATATATATATATATATATATATATATATATATATAAATGTCTATGTGTGTATATATATGTGTGTGTGTGTATGTGTCGACATTATATATATATACATTTATATATATATATATATATATATATATATATATATATATATATATATATATATATATATATATATATATATATATATATATATATATATATATATATATATATATATATATAGGTGTTGGAAGTTTTTTCTGGTTTGGAAAATACAACGCATTTCAACCTGATAAACTACAATATTCTATTGCTCCAATTCTGGTAAATTTTTTTGAAGCTAATTTTAATGATTGTGTAAGTGTTGTTATTAATGCTGTGTTAAAGAAGTTTACTTATTTCATATTTTTCCTATAGATATGTACAATTGGAGCGTATCTTGTGGCGATGCTTTTTTTCAGTGTCTACGACATGGGGATCGACACGCTCTTCCTGTGCTTTTGTAAGTTTTTCATCTAAGTATGTTTTATTGCCCATATACTGATTTATACACCGAAAGTGATTTAACACTTTAAACACTTTTTTTAAATTATTTTTGTTATCAAAAGAAGTGAAATTTTTACGTTAACATTGAGAAAGCAGTTTTACATATATAAAATTGAACTGTTCATTTATATTTGGAAGTTTTTGTGTTTAATTTTGAAAAAATTTAAAATTTTTCAAATTTTCAGTGGAAGATCTTGAACGCAACGATGGTTCGGCTGAAAAGCCTTATTTTATGTCTAAAGAATTGAGAAATATTATGGATGTCAAAAACAAGCCCGCGCCAAGCAATGACATTTCAATGTCCCCTAAACAAACATTTAATATTTAAAAGTACTTTGTACTTATTTGTGATTTTCAAGAATTTTATTATTAGGTTTTTGAAATATTTTATAGCAAGTTATCTTTTATAGCAGTTATCTTTTATAGCATCCATCTTTTATTTGTTTATTTATGCAGTTTATTTATGGTTTTTAAATACTTTTAGATTTACTTGGATTTTTGTGATTAACAGGAAAAAATTTCTGAAATATTTTTATTCCATATATTCCCTTTTTTTAGAAAAATTTGTAGGAGAGTTTTTTTTAAAAAGAAATAAAGAAACTTCATTTTAAAAATTTAATTGTTTTAATGCAAAAATGTAAAATATTTAGTTTGTTCATTACACTACCTGATTTTATTATGTATTGTTTTTTATATTGTTATAAAAATTTTTAGCAGTCTCTTATTCATAGTTAAGCAGGTCCTCGTTCTTCTATGAGTCGCATAAGTTATCTACTAAATACATTTTCAAGAAAAGTGGCTTTTTTAAAAACTAAAACTGATTTTTCAGTTAGTCTCAATTTTCAACACCCGGAAAATGAAGTTTTTCTATAAAACTAGTTGGAGTATCCAGACAATCAACTTAATTTAGTTTTCTAAAAATCTAAATTTTTAGAAAATGTTCTAAACAAATTAAAATATTAGTGCGCATGTTCAATACTAAATGTGCATGTTCAATACTGGTTTAAAGTTAAGTTGAGATTTTGGAGATTAGGAGATGAACTTAGTTTATCTCTTAATCTCTAGATGACTTGCAACAGACGCAGCAACTATTTTATCTATAACAATAGCAATTACATTAAAAGTTGCCGAGCATTTGTTAGATTCCTCAATTTTGTAAAACTTTTATTAGACTACACAATGGGCCAAAACTCACTTTTACTGGACAAAATTCATAACTAAAATAATATTAGGGTTATACTCACTAAAACTAGTATGAGTGCTAATATGATATCTGCGTTTCTTATAGTGTTATTTTTCTATTTTGTTACAATGGATACGTAATTTTGCTTAGATTAATTTTTAGTATTTGCAGGTATTTTACGAGTGCTTTATTCACTATTATTATATTCGTTTGGCATAAAACAATCAATAAAGTTTTCTAGAGCAATCAATAAAGTTTTTAGGCGTGTTTCTACTAGACTCAAGATAATCGGTATCGTATAAGTTGATACCGAGAAGAATGGTCTCATATCGCGTGGTATCGCTTATGTACTAATGTCGAAACTATCAGTATCGCTTCAATACCAATTATAAAAAGAATGGCATAGTATCGCATGGTCTCGAATCGAGACTCAACAAAATTAAAATGTGACTTATTGAATTTTTTATTAATAAAATACAAGTACAATTACTTTTTAGAGATTTAGTTATTGTTTTTTAAAAATCTACAATACTTTGACTATCGTCCATTCGTCGTTTTTTCCTTTGCTTTTTTTCGCTGGAATTCTAGGATTTTCTTCTATTAATATTTTAATAATTTTAGGGCAATTTACTATAAATTTTACATCTAAACAACGTCAAATGAGTTAAATAATTTCAGAAATATTATTACAAAAAAAAGACCCTTTGATAGGCGTGAATTTTTTTTTAATTAATAAGTATCTCTATGTGAAAAAAAAAAAATTCAGAGTGGGCAGACATACAATCTGGTAATCAATTTAGCACACTGTGTTTTGAGCGTTCTTCCTAAAAATCTGTTGATTTATGCATTATTGTTCCACCAAATAAATTAAATTTTTTTAAAACTTAAATAGTTAATAAGCAATAGTAGTTATGCCGTAAAAAATAAACTGCCTTTTTAATTAAAAAAAAATAATAATAAAATCCTTCGGTAAGACTTAAACCTAGATCTCCGATCTAATTCGTCATAACTTTATCCGCTAGACCACGGAAGCTACCCCAGTGGGCACGGGACGTAAAAAAGACGTCCTTTGGAGCGTCCGTCCGTCCCATTTAAATTCTAAACGTCTTTTTCGCGTCAAATAAATTTTACGTCCAAAAAAGATCCAGAATGCTTTATTAAATCAAAATAAAATTAGTTAAATCACGCAATCGTCAAATCTATTTATTTTTGCTAATTAAAAACATTTTTAATACAAATGCAGAAGAAATTTTCAAGTGTAAAAGAACTTTCAAATGTAAATTTTTTTTGGCATCTCGAAATAATAAATGAAGAGTGACTAATAGACAGGTTCTTGCTAATTTATATATATATATATATATATATATATATATATATATATATATATATATATATATATATATATATATATATATATATATATATATATGCTTTTTATATATCGTCCGCTGAGAATGGGAGTGTTCTATGTCCATTTTTGAGCTTTTTGACTTAGATGCATTTTATCGTTGACAATATGCAAATGTACTATGTCCATAAGTTTCACATTGACCTGTCAAGTCTTACACTTGTTTTCTTCAATATTCGTTTAAACTACGTCCAATTCGATGGGCCTGTTTAGTATTGGAGTGGTCTATGTCCGTCACCCAATAGAATGGCACCGTCCAACACATTTTCACCGTCCGGTGAAAAATTATGAGATCATTAATCACCATTACATGTTTTTAACTGCATTCTTTCTATTTTTTATCTGAGGCTGACGAGTTCGTGTTGCATGTAGATAAACAGATTTTATCTGGATATCGCCAAATACAATAGTATTTCACCCTCCCCCTCTTTTGAGGGAGGTAGGTGCAACGGGACCAACAACTTCTATGTTTTTGTCTACAATTAATTTACTAATAATTTTGACTAAAATAATTTTGTATATGTATATATGTATGTATATGTGTATATGTGTGTATGTGTGTGTATGTGTATATATGTGTGCATGTGTAGGTATAATATATAAACTAATATAATATAAAAGTTAGTTTTAGGTACATATATATATATATATATATAAATATATATATATATATATATATATATATATATATATATATATATATATATATATATATATATATATATATATATATATATATATATATATATATATATATATATATATATATATGTAAAACACATTTTCACCGTCCGACTGAAGTCGAAAATGGCCGCTGAAGAGGCCAGGATTCGTATTATTTTAGATGAAATTGATTCTGACGAATGGTAAACTCATTTGTATCACTAAACTTTCATGTTAATCAATCAATCTATTAATTTTTATCTGTTTAAGTCATCATGCTTCTTCCAGACCTAATTCTTTATGCATTTAACATAGATAATTATTGTACCTTACATGACAGATTAGGGTTATGTTTTATTTTTGTATGGAAGCTTTTTTTTAATTGAAGTTTTTTTTATAGCTGGCATCAAGAAGGTAGTGACCCATCTGATAGTAGTGATGATGAAGACGAGCTTGATATAGATGAGACTGCCGACACTGTGACCTGCTGTGTCCGCTGCTGATACGAACGATAACAGAGTCGAAGGTGCTGATGGTGAAACTGCCAATTTGGTCGAGAATGGAATACTAATGTAAGCGTTTCTAGCATGACACTTTTTGATTGAAAACTTATATTAATTATTATTATTATATTTGTGTTTCTTTATTTAACAGGGAGACTCCAAAACTTTTTACGCGAAAAAGGCTTCGGCAGCCAGTGAACTGGAAGCGGAACGTACAAAAGCGACTGCGATAGGCAGGAGAGGAGTAAGTTGACATTCAAGGCCGAAAACATCAAGAGAAGACTGTATGAGAAAAATGCCCTATTAACTGTCGTCTGAAATGTCGAAACAACATTGTTGCGATAAAGAGGGAAAAAATTCACTCAGACTTATGGTCGCTTAGTGACCAAAAAAAAGCGCACTTTTACTCTAAATTTGTGCAACGAGATTTCAAAATTCGAGAACGACATCGGCGTCAAACTCCTGACGAAAGCAGGGAGAAGTTTAGCTACCGGTACTTTTCTGAGGTTGGTGGCGAACGTATTTAGGTTTGTAAAACCTATTTCTTAAATTCTCTCAATATAAGTGCTAGAAGAAGTTATTTTTTTATAGTTATTTTTTTGACCACAATTTAAGCCCAGATAGTGGAGTCGCCACGTCTCCAAAGAAGGGGAGAAACAAAAAGAAATTCTTGCCTCAGAAAACTGTGCAGCAAATTTGTGACCATATCAACTCTTTTCCGAGGGTGGAGAGCCACTACAACCGCGCCAATACAAAGAAAGAGTTCTTAGAAACCGAACTTAGTCTAAAGAAGATGTTTCAGCTGTATAAAGAAATCCACACCAATGATTATGTCACTACTGAAAGCAAATACAGAGATGTTTTCAGCACAAAATTTAACATCGCTTTTCACAAACCGAAGAAAGATCGCTGTGATTACTGCGAAGAAATGAAACTGATTCCAACACCGTCCGAAGAGGAGGAACTCGAATATCTGGACCACTTTTCTAAAAAGCTAGAGTGCAAGGAAGAGCGCGATAGGGACAGGAAAAATCACAAAAATGGAATTGACCCTACCGTTGCGGTTGTATCCCTTGACGTGAAAAATGTAATGGCTTTGCCGAAAGCCAACGTTTCAAATTTTTTCTACAAGAGAAAGCTCAATATGTATAACTTAACTGGCCACTGCTCGCTAGACAATGCTACGTATTGCGCCGTTTGGCACGAGATGCTGTGTGGCCGCGCTAGAAATCATATCTGCAGTGCTCTACTTAAAATTCTTACGGAAATTGTTTTGAGGCTCCCGGAAATTAAGAAAACCATCTTGTGGTCGGATTCTTGTGTCCCACAAAACAATAACAGCATCATGTCTTACGGTCTGGCACATTTTATGAGACTAAACCCTCAAATTGAAAGCGTCGAGAAAAAGTACTCCGAGCCTGGCCACGGGAACATGCAGGAGGTCGACGTCATTCACAGTCTTATTGAAAAGAGTCTGCGTTATTCCGAAGTGTTCAGTCCAGAGTCGGTATTAAGAAATTTACGTGCCCTAGGTAAAAAGACGGGCAAACTACGAATCCTTCAAATGAAATCAGCAGACTTTTTTGACTTCCAAAAAATTAGCAAATTCTACAATTACGACCAAGTGCCTTACACGCTAATCAAGTATAGCAAAATCGTTTCTACCAATTTGCTGCACATAGAATACAAACGGACGTTTTTGGATGAACAAACAAACGTTCGTCTAGGGCGAAAACCTGATCGCGGTATAGTTTCTCGTGACGCTCGGCCGACTTTATCCACGATATCAATCAAACCAGTGATGACTGCTGAGAAGAAAGAAGATTTAAGCTCAATGTTGAAGTACATGCCGCTCGTTGATCGCCAGTTTTTTGCGACAATTTTGTAACCAAAAACATGTTAAGAAACTTACAAATACAAATTCTGTGAACATTTAAATGCATTTTTCGTTTAATT